GACGACTTTTGGTCATTCTCCTTTCATACCTCCGCGCAATTTTCTTTAAAAGGGATACGAAGTTTTTGCTTCACGTATTAATATATAACTGGTGTGTTAAATGTGGAAAGTTAATTTGCTCGTGGATAAAGATACAAACATCACAAATTTTCATATTAATGCATAAAGCAAATTTTATTTCATCGCGTATACGATTTTAAACAATCATAGTCCATAGACTCCAATAGAGTCAAGGAGCATACACCAAAATCTCATGGCCCTATTTCAGAAACGAAAACAATTTACAAAATCTACATTTTTTTTAAATTACGCTTTTAGTGAAGCTAACATGAATTTAACCGGGTATGCATGTCCGCCCTTCTGGAATATCTCTTTCAACTTGCCCATTGTTCGTGTGCATTGTCCACGACATACCGAATTTTTAGCTGTTTCCCTCTATAAAATTTAACACATGATCTAGAGGAGTCGCTAAGATATAAGAAAAAGATAAAAATACACCAATTAGCCCCGGCGCATTGCAGCTTTGCACTAATTTCATAAAAATAGTCATACGTTTAAACCTGTTATTAATAGAAATATCTTAGAGGGAGTCTGAAAGTGGCAGCGACAGAGAAGTTGAGAAGTGCATTTGGGATGGTATGGACATGTGATGAGACGAAATGAAAATGAGGTTGTTAAGAAAGTGTTAACTATGAATGTGGAAGGATATAGAACAAAAATATAAATACATAGAAAAGACTGCGCAACGTAATCACCAATTGCTTCACGCATCATCTTCATCTTGTATCATTTGTTAATGACCATTACGTCACATTACTTATCCTCTCTTCTACGCAATAGTTCTCTTTTATTATATTCTCTTATATTTTATAATATTTCAGGTTTATTTAAATATTTTTAATAAAAGAAATTTTACTACTTATTTAGTGAACTACATTGTTTCATAAAATTTCAAGAAATTTCATCGGTAGATCGCAGTGTTTCGTCATTAGATCTTTGGTTCTAATCAAGTTGGCCACCCCTGATATAGAGGGAGAGTTGGCCCAAAAAGAAATGGATGGATTGCGTGAAAGACAATATGTGTAAGAGGGGACTGAGCGACGAAATGGTATATGATAGTATGAAAGGAGAAAACATGTTGCGCCGACCCCAGGTGACTTTTTTTTTTATTGCTTAGATGGGTGGACGAGCTCACAGCCCACCTGGTGTTAAGTGGTTACTGGAGCACATAGACATGACGCAAATGCGCCACCCACCTTGAGATATAAGTTCTAAGGCCTCAAGTGTAGTTACAACGGCTGCCCCATCCTTCAAACCGAAACGCATTACTGCTTCACGGCAGAAATAGGCAGGGTCGTGGTACCCACCCGCGCGGACTCGCAAGAAGTCCTACCACCAGTACACAACTGGGACTGGGAGAAGGGCAGGAGCATGATGATGATGATAATGCGTTATGCGTTCAAACAAGCATCGCATATTTTGGCATGACGGCCGCGACCACTCAGTCAAGTGCGTCAGGGTCGGCGTCACCATATGGTAGGTACCTTCCATATATGGCATAGTCATTGTGGACTTGTTTTTATCTATTGTAATATGTTTATACCTATTTTTCAATAAATACGATATCATTTCGTTATTTTATGCTCAGGGACCCCAGTACGTTCTGACACTTGCCAATATCTCTTCAAAATTCAAGGCTATCATCCATTATCTTATTCGCCACTGTCACCATGCAAAACGACCTTCGTTTTAATAGCTACATTATTCCTTAGAGCGTTTCTAATGATATTTGGAACGAACTCCCCTCCAAGGTGTTTCCAAAGTATCATAAAAGTCAAAAGAAGAAATTTTGAGGAGAACTCCATGCGGTCCATACGTAGTGATCCACGACTAATATACAGTGATTTTCATTTTATAGTTAACAATGCTATCAAAATGTTAATAATAAGTGAAATTTAAAATATTGTTAATAATGTGAATTCTTTTTTTTATTTCCCTTGAAGGCATACGAGCATATCGCCCACCTGATGGTGAGTGGTTACCGTCGTTCATGGGCATCACCAATTCCAGGGGCAGAGGCAAGTCGCTGCCTACTGTTAAGTACTCTCCACAAGCCTCGTTTAAAGAAGAACATGACATGTGCTGTATCCGAATGTAATAAAAAGTGAGTGAAGCTTGATAGGTATATGATAAGTTCATAGCAAACGCTTCATTGACATCACAGAAACAACTGAGAGGTAGTGGTCACTGTAAATCGTCCATATTAGCAGCTGGTCTTAATAATTAACATTATTATTGTCATAGGTGCGATTGTATTGAAACGCTAACCCGTCCTCTAGCGTTATCTAATAAAAGATAAATTTAAAGCAATTATAATTGACGATTTAGCACAAGACCAGACTGAATGGGAATCCGTTTATACTTGACGGCCTTTGTCAACCTAACCGGGTGCTGCGCCGTGACCTACACTCGCATGCCACAAGACTTAGTCATTAGGGAACGAGGGTTGCCCATCGTAAATCAGAAAATTGAAATCAATGCGCTCTCAAAGTGCCCGTAAAAAAATTTTTGAAGCCATATGTATATATTTTCGGGACGAGTCGTCTAGTTCTAGTGGTAGCACACAAAAATCGGACTAGAAAGACAGTAAATAGTCTACTTTTAACATCCTATTTGAAGTCTTCAGTCTACCGCTGAGCATGGTATAATAACGGTTATGATACTCCTTTTCTTCTTTCTTTCCTATTACCCTCTGCTGGGGTGTAGGGCTCGAATCAAATCCTTCCATTTACATCGGTCTTGGGTAATCTGTTCTAGCTCCTCCCACGTCTTGCCCAAGACACCTAGCTCCTGCTCCACCGAGCAACGCCAAGTTGTTCTGGGGCGGTCTCTCTCCTTTTGCCAGACACTTTCCAGGTCAGTGCACCCTTAGATAGGCGAGTATCGGGCTTTCTCAATATGTGACCAATCCAATGCTACTTCCGCGTAAGGATCTCCTTCTCTGTTGGCGTCTGCTTGGTGATCCTCCACAGCTCTTTGTTAATGATCGTCTCAGCCTAAAAGATTTTTAAAATCTGACGCATGTTGTGACATATTCACAAAAACTTGAAGTTTTTTTATTAAGCCCTTGCGGTTATGATACAGTTAAAAAAATAATCGTGATAATATAGAGGACTGCTGAAGCTTATAGTTTTTGTGGAATGTTTTAAAATATACGTGAATTATAAAGATTTGACAGCCCTAGACATTTGCTTCAGAACAGTTTCATAATTCTGCTATTGTCTAGATAGATTGATCTGAATAATCTGTCTTGATTTAGATAGAAAAACTGATTCATCACAAATACTAACAATGAAGCAGCTATTCAACTTACTGGAATATGTTGCCAGCTTAGAAATTTAGTAATGAAAACATTTGATTTAATAACGAGAATAAGACGCTCATGAGAAATTCTTTGTAATAGAATTTTCCCGCAATTCTCTGCAATCAATTGGAAAGTTCTATGAATACAAACATTAAGCTAAAAGTTATGACCTATCATAGCACGAGTACGCCCGTTCAACATTCCCTGCCCCGGGCAATATGTTTGATTGTACATGTACAATGTTGCTACAATAAAAGTAAAAGTGATGATCTAAAACATTAAGCTTATGAAAGCTTAGATAATCCTTTCGTTTTCTGATAAAATTAAAGTGAAACCTCCTCTGTGACTGTCGCTAATAGTGCAACAAACATTGTAATAAAGTGGCTAAAAAGTTATAAAAAAATAAATAAAAATTGTAAGTTTATAATGTTCCGTCTTTATTTTACAAATTTGGCAAAGGAAAATCTGAACATTAAATTGTTTCTATTTCTAAAATTTGAATGTGAATTATATCCAGAATCCTCAACTCTGTAACCTTAATTAACTAACATCTTTCTATTATCTATTTTACTTGTTCAATATATACCTATTTTCCTTAGATAGCTATTGGTTAGACCATGAAGACCATACATACTTTTTTCTGTTAAATAACTATATAATTTGTAGGTATGTTCTAGCTTATTGAAATATCCTAATAAGTAGCCTATTAGTAACATTAACACACTTTGTAGAATGTACACATCCGCAACATGCTTCGTCAGATTACAGAAATAAAGTTATCAGCAACATGCTTCGTCAGATTACAGAAATAAATCTGTTAAATTAACTAATCTGTATCTAACCTATATTTCTTTTTAAATTTGTCTTTTTTTATTTTTAAACTGGTCGCTGACAATAGTGGCATCGTAAAAGAACGAATTGCCATTCTGGTTTTTTTTCTACCTAAGTTTGTAACCTAGGGGGCTATGCCAATATAACCGAGCGTGCAGGTTAGCGTTAGCTCACTCACCAGGCTTTAACCTGAGAACGTTGCTAACACTAGCCCTAGCAAGAGCAATTCCTCGCAGAATCTACTACCGGAATAAAGGAAGAAATCTACGGAAACTTCATGAACAAAGAAAGCCATATCTGTCTAATTGAAACCACAACAGTTTCACAATATATGTTTTTATATTTTCTTCTGCTTCTTAACTATTTGGGATTCTATAACTTGCCATCTATCTCATATTAATTCTCCTGAGGAATGGTAAGGTTGAATTTGGCAAATCAGGATGCAATATTTTAGTTTCAGGAAAGTATATCTCATTCCCTGTGTTCAATGAAAAATAATAATTTAATGACAACTTAACAAAGTGTAAGTCGGTGCCGTACCTTTACAAATAAAAAAAAAACCTTAGTTACACGACCCATTGCTGCCGTTTTCTACACTTTAAACGAGAAAAACAATTTGAAATATGTAAGAAAGCCATTAATTTGCATTTAAGTTAATTACTACACGATAGTTAACTGTTACCAAATCAATTAATGCCAATAAAACCACTGATTACATTATTTTTTGGAAATTTTATTTATCTCGCATTTCTCTCTGTCTCCACGCGTTCCATGTTTTCGTGGCGCTAGTAGCGTCATTAACGCCATCGTAGGCGCACGTCTCCATATTGCTCCGCGAATTAACAAAGTATTGTCGTGAATAATTCGTTTTTAATTCTATTCAAACGTATTTCGCATCACTGAAATATTGTGTTTTGAGTGTTCATTGACAAGTGTATAGTGGTGTTCAAGATTTAAACGTGATTTTTGTAACAACAATCTCGTTTTAAACTTGTATTCTCAACGGAAAGCGATCGTGTCGGATTCCGTTGATTCAGTACCATTGATACGGTGAGTCGGGTTTTGCTATGGTATTCTGTTCTTTCATGGTGGAATAACGGTGTCGGCAAACCATTGTTCTAAAGATAACAAAAGTAAGGAACGTAACAGCATTTGCAATTTTTTTTATCTGTTTTGAAAATACCGTTCACATTGGTAGATTAGCGCGTGAGGCCAACGGTTTTTAGATAAATTTGCATATGTAAATATATTATTTACTCCAAGTTCCTTGATATCTAATTCAAACGATGTCCTTGTTTTTATAAAATAAGCATTGACATTAACAAGATATTGATTTTAAATTTCGTAAATAAAATTCGGTATACATAGTATTAACGATCCACTTTTATTGTATTTTTTTTTTCCCTACCTATGCTGATAGCCTTGAGAGGCTATTTCACCTTCTCCTTCACGTGTAGGTGAGCTCACGGGGCTCAAACCGGGAGTGTTGCTAACACTGGCCCTAGCAAGAGCAGTGCTTCGGAAAATCTACCACCGGATCGGAAACGCAACCCACTGAGAAATTCCGGCGAGAAACTCAGTGGGCTGTGTCTATGAGTTGATTTACGTGAAGCCCTTCATAGGTTCAGAGAGGACGGTGACCGGTGTTTGAGGTACCCAAAAGCACCGTTCATGGATCGAGAGGATCCGTAATAACGTGAATTTATTGTTAATATTATTAAGTATTAACATCGTGTTTTTACTACAATAAAATAATGTACTAATTATTTGTGTACCTAAATGAAGGTGGGTTATACAATCCTATATATTCTATAAAGCTACATAGATCTGGTCTCAAATTAATCATCTTCATTTCATTTCATTTCATTCCATATTATCGTTTTTCATAAAAATAAGAATATTAATTAAAATAAGACATGACATGAAAGGTCTTAGTGACCAGGTCATCAAATCCCTTTTTTTTTCTACCTATTTGTTAAATGTCAAATACTTATATGATAAGCTGAAGACCACTTCATTCATACTTCAGTCGAAAATAACGAATCATCATAAAACACAGGAGGCAAGCGTATTTTCTTTGAAAATATAATTTAAAGTCATATGTAATACACATCCAATGTTCTTTTCACGTATTATATGACATTTATTACGAATATACTTTTTGAAAGTTATCTAAACATCTTGTTTAACCACAGCTTCGCGTTCTATGTCAGTAGTTCACGTATTATTTTTCCAAATTATTTACTTAGACCACTGTCGTAGTCAGCTGGTTTCATGTACTTATTAGGACATTTATATAGGTATTTCCACATTCATAGATTCGTTGTTTCGGTTAATAGTATTTTTGATGCCTGAATGCAGGTCTACTTTTATACGAGGATGCGGAAATCTGTCTAGATCTATATATACTATAAAATATCGTTTCCTAATTAAATAAGAAAAACAAAAAAAAAAGTATAATTAAAATGATCACACCGCATGCGTAATTTGTATTTTTTTTTTATTGCTTAAGTGGATGGACGAGCTCACGACCCACTTGATGTTAAGTAGTTACCGGAGCCTGTATACACCTACAACGTAAATGTCGCCACCCACCTTGAGACATGAGTTGTGAGGTATCACTTTTAACAGTACAACGGCTGCCCCACCCTTCAAACCGAAACGCGTTACTGGTTCACGGCAGAAATAGGCAGGGTGGTGGTACTTACCCCTGCGGACTCACAAGACGTCCTATGGCCAGTAATTACGCAAATTATAATTTTGCGGGTTTGATTTTTACTACACGATGCTATTCTTTCACTGTGGAAGTCAATCGGGAACATTTGTTAAGTACGTATTTCATTAGAAAAATTGGTACTTGCCATGGGGATTCGAACACCGGTGCATCGCTAGATATGAATGCACTGGACGTCTTATCCTTTAGGCCACGACGAACTCATTATTTTTAAAAAATCTTAAAGCAAAGGAGTTTAATTGTGGATTGTGGCTGCGATGTTTGTGGCGCAATTTATTCTGTAGTACTTTACTCTGTAGTCGTTTAATGGTTAAAACGCCCGTTATCGTAAGCAGAAAATCCGGATTCGTATCCTGGCCCACGTCTACAAATAAGGTTTACATGCCCTGGTGAACCTGGTCTCAGAGCTGCCAGTTATCCTTCCTTCCTAAAAAAAACTACCTTTGTGTAGAGTCAGTTATATAATATGTGTGCATGTTTTTAGGATATTCCTTCTATATTGATATATTATCTACATGAACATATCACATAGTAATGTAACCCGCTACGCCTGGTAATAAACAGTTCAAAAGTGCTTAGCCTAGCCTTCAATCGGAATGTGCCTTTCGACATAATTTATCTAGTTTTTTAAGTTACGAACAGCATTTAAACACATGAGCAGTTCACTCACACAATATGGCGCAACGCGTCGCCCTCCGCCATATTGACATTATTATTATTTTATCTATATTCGCGCGATTTAGAAAAAACATACGGAAGATAGAAACAGTATAAAAGTTTTTAGTCCTAAATAAAACTTAAGTAGGTAGACAGCGGCTTGGCTCTGCCCCTGGCATTGCTGAAGTCCATGGGCGAAGGTAACTACTCACTATCAGGTGGGCCGTATGCTGCTCGTCTGCCTACAAGGGCAATAAAAGAAAACACTTTTTCGCCTGTCATTTCATTCAAAGGAGTCATTCGAAATTTCCGTGTATGTATGTATTTACCGGTGCCTACTTGCGTTACGAGTTAGCAGAGGTCGCCGTGTCCTCCTCGTGACAAACGATCACGTATACTCATGGAGATTAGTTGAACGTGACCAAGATACTATTTATACTGTCATTTATAAAGTTACAACGATAACAAACGTGTTTTGACGGATAAGTTGTTAGTTTTGTACTAAATATGATCACTATAACTAATAATACATTTTGTATCATTTCCTCTCGCCCGGTGAATCTAATATGACCCCTCGAAGTCAATAGAATAGGTAGGAATTAGAATATAAATTGAAATTTTATTTGTTGTTTTTTCTTATATTTGTGTATTACAATTTACAGCCAGCTTTGCTATTAATTTTAAGTATTATTACCGCCTCAACTAAATAAAACATTTGTTCAAAAAAATCAAGTTTTTTTTATTGCTTAGATGGGGGGACGAGCTCACAGCCCACCTGGTGTTAAGTGGTTACTGGAGCCCATAGATATCTACAACGTAAATGCGCCACCCACCTTAAGATATAAGTTCTAAGGTCTCAAGTATAGTTACAACGGCTGCCCCACCCTTCAAACCGAAACGCATTACTGCTTCACGGCAGAAATAGGCAGGGTGATGGTACCCACCCGCGCGGATTCACTTGAGGTCCTACCACCAGTAATTCTGCGGTAGGCAGCATTTTAACTTAAGTTCCTGACATTCCTGTCGTCCATGAGTGACAGTAGCTACTAACCGTCAGGTGGTCCATGTCCTTGTCTGTCTATCGGAGCAATAACCTAATAGCATTGGAAAATAGCGAAACCCTACATAAACCGCGTGTTCCACAACAAGATCCTCCTGGCTGAGCCTTTGCTCGCCCACCTGTCCCGGTGAAACTGAAAAGGCCTCTGGGCCACCAATAATCCCTCATTCATTAAAAAAAGTGATAGCGTAATTCTACCTTTTAAAAAGGAACATTTGGGTATAAATAAGTAGTAGATTATGTGCTATTTTAATCGATATTTTTGTTTACAAAACCGCTTGACACTGACTGACCTCATTGAAAGAACTCTTTACTTATTATCTGATGAAATTAAATAAAAAAAACTACTGTGTGCGAATTTGTTGTGTACGAACTCGGGTAGCAACTTAACACCGGGGCCGTGAGCTCGTTCATCGGTCTATGCAATAATGAAGAGTTTGCGTATAATTTCAGTTTTGCATCTTCAGCAGTCTTCAAGGAATAAGGTCGGGCAACACCCATTGCGTTCTTTGTTCTAGGTGCTCTTCGACTCATATTTGAATGCGATGTTACTTCGGTCCGTTATTAGTCTAATCCAACGTGGTTATACTAATCTCTAACAGGGTACGGCGGGATGGATGTAATATGCTCTGCGTCAACCCTGTCCCGCCGTCTCAATAGACCCGACTGGGCTCCGGCCCGGTCTGGGGTAGGGCGCCAGCTGTGAGCGACAGGAGTTTTTTGTGAGGTTCAACTCCCACATACCCCACCTGCCGCGCGGGTGGAGATCCGGCGATTTTCTCATGTGATAAAAAAAAAGACTTGACCCGGATTCAACTGGGACAATTTCCAGACTTCAACCAAAAATCCAAGTCTGACCCTCGAAACTGGAGATCGACTTGTAATGAACAATAAAAGTCGAGTAGACGTGCAAATAAAACCGAGGTCAGCGACCGGAGCATTCTGATTTTTATCTAAACAAAATTTCTCTGAAACAAAACTGGAACGTGTGTAAATACCTCAAAATGAGACTAAATGTTGATGCGGGGGGGTACTAAATAACACTTTAACGGTCCGGGGCAAATCTTGTAATCGTGTATTTACAAGCACCTTAAAGAGATAAGAATAATTAAGGCCAAAGCCTTTTTATTCTGATTTATGAGCAACGCCGGCTATCTGCAGCACCGTATACTAATGTTGTATATCGAATAAATTTCTACTGTGGTAAACACAAAAATTTTATATTTTTAGGTAGGTTCGTTTGGAACCTCTTGGTCTGCGGAGGGACTTTACTTCTCCCTGTATTCCATTATCTCGTTTTTCCTATCGCACCGCTTGCCACCGGAGTAGAGTTCATCCATACTACCTGGAGCCACTGCGGATCCACAGTGCGTTTTCAGAGATCTTTTTTGCCACGTACCATCCGGCTTTGCAATGAGCTCCCTTTCCGCGGTGTTTCCCGAGCGCTATGACTTGTCCTTCTTCAAACGAGGCTTGTGGAGAGTACCCAACGGTAGGCAGCGGCTTGGCTCCGCCCCTCGAATTGCTGAAGTCCATGGGCGATGGTAACTACTCACCAAAAACAAAAGGTAGATGACAAACTGAAGACGACAGAACCCT